AAACATTAGTGCAGTGGTTTATGTTAAAATAAACCTTTGGGCTAAGTTGTCGCAAGCGGGTTTTTCTTGTGAATTTGGTCTTAAATTTTTATTTCAAGTGGCATTAAAGTCTTGAATTTAACGTGCCTTATGCTGTAGGAACCCTGGTTACAAAACGGGGTCTATTTAGGGTCGTACTCTTTAAAGGTTCAGCTGCTTTCTCCTGTTGGGTGCAGTGAAAATGCTATAGTGTTTGACTTTCTATTTCCTCCTTCCTTAGTTAAGGGGAAGTCTTATCAAATGTGATTCGTGTTGGTAAAAACATGGAGGGATGCCTTTCAATTTTAATGGGAATATTTTATTCATTACTGTGCGTGAATGATCACTGGTCGTTACTCATGTTGCTCCTTCAGCAAGAGAAACGGATCTTCACCAACTTCCATCGCCAGCTCTTCTGTTGGATTGATAAGTGGGTGGAGCTGAATATGGATGACATCCGGCGAATGGAGGCAGAGACTCAGAGGGAGCTCGAAGAGGTATGTGTGCAACAAACTCCAATCACTGAAGTAAATGGCATTTGTATGGCCTACTCATGAAACCGGTTTTAGGTTGGTTTTAAATTTTCTTTTATTCCATCACGTTAAAACAGGAGAATAGCTCAAGTATACCTCATTTCTTACAGAAATGGAGACTCAACAGGGTTTATTTCCTAGTAATTGTGCATAAAACCTTTTTATACATTTTAAATTTTAAAGGGCAGGTTAGACTTCCGCAACTGCATACATCAGATGTCGCTTGCGTCTGGTCGCGAACCAGTTTTGTTGCTATGCTTCTGCACTGTCGGCCTGGAATTTCTAGGGACACACAGCATTTTCCCGCCAAAGCTCAAGAGGGAGTCTATTCGAGAACTTCCACAGATTGTACTTCCGAAACTCCTCGATTAACCTTTCGTCGTAGTTTTCCATTGGTTTTTAAAAATGGCGCGCCCCGGCACCGAATCAAGAAGGACGACCACACAGACGGCCGGAAAGGCATACCAATTACCAATCACAGCTGCTTTTTGTCTGCGCACTTCCGCTTGAGGTCTGCGGGGGTTTGCCACCGTCCAACACGTAGTCAGCATGTTTTTGAGGAGCTTGACGACGTCTTAATTCTTCCTTTAAACTTGATACTATTACAAATATCAATGGTCAGTTTCAACCTCTGCATTCTTGCTGTAATTCATTCAAAACTGTTCAGTCCAAACTCTTAAGAGCACATATGTGCTCTTAAGAGTTTGAGAGTATATGTAATATTCAAATCTTTGGACTTGATTTAATTGTTCTGCCAATTATTGCCATTTGAAAGCCTCCCCATATGATGATCCTGCTGCCACCACCATGCTTTACTCTATAGATGCTTTTTAGGCAGTAAAGAATTCAGACCTGGGTGTTCAATCTTTTTCCCATCAGACCAGAGAATGTTGTTTTTCATGATCCGACTTCTTAAGGTGCTTTTCGGCAAACTCCAGACAGGCTGCCATGTGCCTTTTATTAAGGAACGGCTTTAATTTCGGCACCCTAGCATTCAGGCCTACCTACAAACAGGAAGCTGTAGAATGCCCTGAAAGATGACCCATGGAAACGGTATGCACCTCCAGCTCTGTTTGGGCTTAATGGAAAACGCTGTGAATAGTTAGATATTAATTCATAGTTTTATATTTTTAATCAATATATAATCTCAAAGAGAAGGTTTCCCAAATGTCGTGTGTATAACTTTAAGTAAATAGAACAAGTAAAAACGAATTGGAACAAGGCTGTAACAACTATATATAGAAGAAATGCAGTGCTATGGAAATTTGCACTGTACTCCAATTCATGCGTCTTATGAGGACCTACTTTACTTGTCATTTGTTTTATTTTTGTCCAGATTCGAAACAAGGGTTCAGTACGAGGTACACTGGCTGCAGAGGGGTAGCAGGCCAGGTTTAGGTCTCTGTGTTGCTTTGCAAGCTGTTGCTGGTGCAGGCAAGTCTCTTAATGGTTTTTTCCACTGGGCTGGCTTAGGCAAACTGTGGTGTAAAAACTGTTTATGTACTGCAACCTCTGACATGAAGTAGCCGGCTGTCCTCAGCACTGCACTGTGCTTTTAGATCCTTTTTTTTTGTTTTACCTCCATATGATTTTATGCTGATCATTTTTTTTCTGTCATCACATAAAACCCACATACGAAATAAAATGAACTTTTTTTTTATGCTAAATTAATGCCTTCCACGGTATTCCATGTTGAATACTATGAAAGTTGCGTTGTTTTTTTTTCTGCAAGTTGCAGAATAGTGAAGAGTGTCTGTTTGTGGCTTGGTGCAGGAAACCCAACCCCTGTGTGGAAAAAAAAAATTCACTCTTTCTCATCTCTGTTTGGGTTTCCTACTCACTCTGTTTTTCGGGTGTGGCTCTGGGGTTTTACTCCACATTTCCATGTTTGACTTGTTCAGAAACAGACACAGTGTGGATGGTGTGTTATAAGGTTTTTCTTTTTAAGACATAGTGTAAATATGATGTCATGTTTTCTCAGTATTTGGCTGCCATTTTCTAACGCCAACAGAGGAACGTCCTTAGAACCAACTGACCATGGCCTCCAAACAAGAAAACTTTTCACAAGAGAGTGTTTTCGTCAAAATAACCCAAAGCGTTTTTAAATAACAGAAGCTTCTCCAAAAGTAAGTTTGGGAGATTTTGTCCTTACAAGGAGCGCAAAGAAGGAATCTGGATTAGACTGGCCAGAGTGGGCCAGTCTTAAACATTCCTAGCGTACTACCAACATACTGCAATTTGTGCTTTGCCTTTCCCCCCTTCAGAAGATCTCGGCCAGTTCGCCATGTGTTTCCCATTTTCCACTGGAGCAAGTAAACAGGCGGGTGCCATCAAAGAGGGCTGTGGTGAGGCCGGCAGTCCAGTCCTGAGCCTCCAAGCTGCGGGGTTAGCAGGGTCACACATGAACTGTACTGAATGATGTGCAACGGTTCCACCAGTGCGGTGCAGTTGGTGAAGAGTAGGGATGCATGACAGGGATGAGGTGTGGACAGGGTGCTTCACGTCGACTCCTTTTCTCCTCATTAACATACAAATGGAATTCTGCTGTTGAGCCGAAGTCCGGCCCGTGATTGAGAAAGAGAAGAGAGCGTCAGAGGAAGCGGGGAGGAAAAAGATGGCGAAGCGGGAGGCTAAATCCTCCTGCTATTTCATCAGCTCCGTCTTTTCCCCTGTTTAGAGCCAATGTTGGTTTTAACCGTTTCATTTGAGCTCTTGGGCTATCAGATTCAAACGCTAATTGACTTTCCAAAGCCATCAGCCTCAGGGTGGGAGCATTTGAAAGGGATGCTTTTATCTACCTTGAAGAAAAACAGCAGGAGAGATAAGTATTGTTAAAGCAGACTTTTAAGGAAGGCCAAGTTTCAGCTTGCAGAAAGCAATTTGTTTGGGTTTTTATAAAGTATAACCTCAGGAATGTAATGAATAAAAACCTCTTAGTGAAGCTTTTAAAAGGTTATTTACATTAATCCATCAAAGCAAATTGTCCCTGACCTTTGTTTGATGCTTATCATCATGTTTAATTATCAGAGCATCAAACTGCATATTGATTCCTGGTTTTGATGCCCCTTTTATTGATTTAACTATTTTTTTGTTTTGTTTTGATTCCTTTCAGAAGCTTAGAAACAGGACTGTTCTAAGCGTGAAAAGCAGCTTTTATCTACTCATTGAGCTTTCCATAGCATCCACTGTCTCACTTGTTTAATGTAGATTCTAATGACTTTTTTTTTTTCTTGTTTTGTTTTCATACAGCTTCGCAAAAAGGGTGAAGTACGGGGAACCAGTGCTGCAGACGAATGAAAAGGAACAGGATTAAAAATGGCCGCAGTGCGTGATGGTGTCTGCTAAAAATGCTCCTTTGTTTGCCGCTTTTTACCTTAACTGATTTGGGCTGCAGAGGAAGGAGCACAGCTGCCTGCGATCGATACTCAAGGTCCCTGACTTGACCTCAATCATAGACATTCTGTCCACTGAAGAATTATTTTTGTTTGGTGTTCTTTTTTTTTTTTTTTATGTCACTTACACACACGATCCTTGCTGATAAGAGTGCTTATTTTTGATCATCTTGGCCATTCATGTAAATAAGACTTGAAAAAGTGTGTGAGGGTATGTGCCGTCTGAATTATTACAGAAGGAAATAACTAATCCTAGTCCCACGCCAGAAGGACCAAAAATGTCCGACTGTAATTTATATACATTTTTCACATTCCTTTCAAGCTGATGTCGGGTTTTACCCTGTGCTATCCTAACTGTAAACTGTGTTTTCAATTTGTCAAACTTCTGTTTCTACCTGCCTCAGCCTCCATTAAGTGATTACTAACGCCCTCTGCGCCCATGCCCATAACAACCCCCGCTCACCCAACTCCTGCCCCACCTTAACCAAAGCACTGCATCTTATTATCACTGACAATCATGCCCGTACAGGTGTTCTCTCTCTCTCCTGTGCAGACCTGGTGGGAAACGCGCACACCAGTGACGCATGCATCAGAACCTGAGGATGAACATGTGAATTCACTCTTGAAGGTGTGTGAACAGGCACAGGTGTGGATACCTTTGCACTGACTGATCTGTTACAACTCAAGCTGGGCAGATCCACACAAGCTCGTTCACCTAAAAGATGTTAACACCCCCCCCTCCATGCTCTCTATTCTAAAGACATTTGTACATAACACACAGTACAGCGTTCATCCCCTTTAACAGATGTCCCTAGAGGAAAAAGTGCACTGAAAAACAGCTACAGATGGTGCTGCACCCCTCCAGCCAAACTTCGCTGCGTTGAACCGGCTCACGTCCAAAGGCCAGCTTTGCTCATCTGGTTTCCTGAGGAGAGTTTTTTTCCCACTTTTCACTCTCCAGTTTCAAAGCAGCCATGTTTACAGGTTCACAGTTGGTTTATTTGTACCCAGTCAACACCAACACCAATCTTTTATATTTAACACCTCTCAGCTCTGCCAGCTAGTGCTAGCTACCTCTTCTTTTCTAACTGGCAGCTTTCCTGATTCCTAAGGATTACCATTAGCCTTACCATTAGCTGCTGCTTCCTGGGGCAGAAATCTTAGCAGATAGTGCTTTATGAGTGACAGTATTTCGGATTAATCTGGTTTTTGGAGGAGCTGCAGGTTTTGCATGCCATACAGCTAAGTAACTGGGGTTCCTTTAACATGTACAAGAAATGCAGCCTGTGTTCTTTGCTGCACCAAGATGCTGCTTTCACGTCATGTTGAGCTGATTCACCATATTAGATTTCATAATCACATTTTCTCTTTAGACTTTGAAAACTCATGGAATAAGCCTAGTGTGGTTGTTGTTACATGGATGACATGAACTTTAGCTCATTTGATCCCTGCTGAGTTTTACGTTCTAGTTGTTGTGTTTAATCATAGTTTCTTTACAGAAATCTCTATTTTTACCAAGGAGAATGGAAATGACCTATTTTTTTGATTCCAATCGTCTGATTGTAAAGTTAACGTTTTCTGTCCAAAGAGTCAAGTTGCAGATTTGTCATGTTTACATGTTTTCCAATCATCATAGGAAATCGAAAGCTAATAATGATATATTCTCAGGTGAATGATATGGGTCAGAGCTTTAACCGACTGTTGCTCCCGCCTCCAAATTAAATGAGAAAATAATTCACTCTTGTAATATGATGCTGATAGGTCAGAGTTACGACAATCTCAACATGCATAGCTTTTTCTTTTAGAGAGCAAAAAACTGCAGTGGATATTTGGTGGCACTGTGCATTATAAACCTATTGTTACCGAATATATCAGAATGGGTTTGGAAGAGTTAGCGGGAGATGTATGTTTTCCAGAACTTTAAGGACTGTCAAGATGACTGAAGAATATTTTGAAGGAACTGTATCTTATGTATGAAACCCACAACACCTTAAGGCTTTTTAATGGTTTTGATCAGATAGTGAAAATCAGGGGTTATGATGGTGACTATATGAACTATTGTGCCTTTATTTTTTTCTAGAAATCTCTTGTATGACATATGCATATTGTATTTCCAGTTATCAATAAATTGTCACTAAATTATACTGTTTTTATACAGAGTTGTCCTTTTCCTCAGAGGGTTTCTGCTTCTTGGCCTCTTTGTCAATTTAGTAATTACCCATGTACTTGTAAGCCGTTTTACCGTTTTTTTAATCTTTAGATTATCTCTTATACAAATTAATATGATCTGAAGCTTATGACTTGTACCTAATCAGCTTGCATTTTAAAGTACAATGCATTAAGACGGTCTTCACAGCCTTTGTCATGAGGCCTTCATATTGAGCAGTGGTGCATTGTGATCATATCTTAGACATAGCTTAAATCAGGAATCCCCAAAGTTGGTCCTCAAGGGCCGCTGTCCTGCAGGTTTTTGAGATTTCCCTGCTTGAGCGCAGCTGAACAAAAGCCTTTTAATCAGCTTTCAATTAAAATCAGCTGTGCTGGAGCAAGGAAACCGCTAAAACCTGCAGGATGTTGGCCCTCGAGGACCACCTTTGGGGATGCCTGGGTTAAGCAGACACCTGTAAGGTCCTAAAGTTGTCTGGACGCACAAATGAAGTATGAAGTCACAACGCTTGTAATATATCCGCTAGGGTTGTCACGATACTACGGTAAACTTTTCAACTCAATACCGATACTAAGTAAAATATTCGATACTCTATACCCTTTTCGATACCACAAGAATAAAAACAAAGACTCTAAAATTCAACAAATATTTTCATTACTAAAAAAATACAAGAAATAAATAAAATAATATTTTGATTTTGTATGCTGTGCACAATATTAAGCAAGCTTGATAAAAAAATTCAAATTAAGTGTTCCTTCCTTGGCTATGTTTTGCAGACATAACAATGACACTGGCCAAACCAGTTAAAAAAAAAAAAAATATCAGCAGCTGCACCTGTTACAAAAAAAGTCTGAAACTGAAAAATACACAGAATTATTCAATCAAACAGTGTTCAGAAAGTGTATCAATAGTTTTTAAAATGAGTATTGTATCAGGATACGTTTCAGTAACGATACTTTTTTGAGTATCGATACTTTTGACAACCCTAGTATCAACACCTACCAGATATTTGCCTGGTGATGAGCAGTTCCTGGTTTCCTCCAAACCCGAACCCAGGAATCCACACCATGAACTCGATCTTTGCCTCATCAGACCAGGGTTTTTTTGTTTCTCGGGGTCAAAGTTCTTGTGGTGCCTTTTTGGAACACTCCAGACAGGCTGCCATGTGCCTTTTATTAAGGAGGGCTTTTTGTCTCCCCACTGAACCGTACCAGCCTGCTTACCTACATAACTATTTGACGTGTAGGAACATACCAGGGATAATTGGTGGAAACAGTATGCACCTCCAGTTCACTTTGGTCTAACGGCAAAGGCTGTGAATGCATAAATTAGTTTGCTATTTTTTTTTAACCTTTCCACAATTTTATATCAATGATTGTATGTAAAATTTAAAGGAAACAGAGTCTAATACCATTTTGAATACAGTTGTAAAATTACTGGATAAAGTGCAGCACTGTAAATACGTTTCAGATGCACTTTTTGTATTTTTAGCTTATTTTATTTTATGTACTGCTACTGTACTGCTATGATGCTGTACGGTATGCTATGGTACGGTACTGCTGTTTCATTCTTAACTTTTAAACAAAGAAGTGTTTATTTAGAAATTACATTGCAATCATGACTTCCTCAGATCATTAACCCTTTTTGCTCCTGATTAACGGGCTTCTTTTCAATAAACCATCTTAAAGCTACAGTGTGTAACTTTTAGCGACATCTAGCGCTCAGACTGCAGACTGCAGCAACATGATCATCTCCCCCTCACCGCTTCTCCCCCCCAACAGTACGGCGAGCGTTACGGGACAAAATGTCTTCCACGACGTCCGCATCACCTACCTTCTCAAGTGATGAGGTTTGTTTACATAGATAATTTTACAGATAGTATTTCAATAGTCTGTGTAGGGTATAGATTTCATGTAGACTTAAGATAATAAATATACCCGTTATTTTTTCTACATCGGTGACATTTTGGCGATCTCGCAATCACTAGTTTGTTGGCTCTGCGCTGCCGTAGCGCAAAGGTGTCTGCCTCCATGGTTGCGAGACCCGCTCCTATGTAATTATAAATAACGAATTCTAAGGCAACGCAAATATTAAGGTTAAGAGGCTGAGCTCGTAGATGATGATAAATAACATAGTTATGTATAATATATTACATTTCTGACTGTATATCCCTGTAATTATTACACACTGTAGCTTTAAATACTATTTGGATCCCAACCTTTTACACTTTCATACATGCTTTTCTCACCCTCTTAAGTGTGTTTCAGTGATATTTCATGTCTGCTTGATAAGTTGTATATGAATCTGAATATTACACAAGCCAATGAAAGGGTTTTAATTTAGATATCTGGTTTGAAGAATCAAAGGAAAGAAAGCTGACTTGACTTGTTTCACAATTACAAATACACAAAGGCAGGATGTTCAAAATTGTGTTCTTAAGCATATTTCGCTGGAAAGTTGAGTGAAAGGAAAAGCCTAGGAAGAAACGGGGTTAACCTCTGTTTTGAGAGTAGTGTAGAATGAATAGTATTACAGCAGTGGGGGGGGATTCAGAAGCATGAAGCTTGAGTCATATGTACTTTTTGAGTCACCAGACGCAGATGTATCCTGGACATGGATCCAATTGTCACATTCCTTAAGGCAAGCCATTCCTGAAGCAGACGGCTCAAGGCCAGTATTGCGGCAAATCGGGCTCCTGAAAGTTCAGCAGAGCAACGGTGGATGGATGAAGTCATTCATGCAGAGAAGCCCTAGAATCTGATTTGCATTCATAGTACATGGGAATATAGTTAGCAGACATTTATGCTTTAATTTCATTTTTCATTGTTAAGAACACACCAACCGAGACCAAGGAGTACCGAGATGAGGCCAAGACCATATAAGATCTTGGTCTCAGCCTCGGTTGGTGTGGTCTTCACTATAACACTGCCTCTAAGGTCCAGTAGTATATATATCATGAACCTGTATATAATGTGTCTACTATCTATAAGCCAGGGCTCGATGTTAACCACTGCCCGATCTCCCGGGGCAAGTAGTTTTTATTGTTGGGAGAGTACAAATTGACAATGATCGCAAAAAAAATTTATTTATCACTCAAAATTACTTTAAAATCACCAACATTCGCTGAAAACGACCCACAAGCGTTGCCGGCGCAATTTTTGTTGCTTTGTACACATTCTTGCGTGATTTTCCGCTAGATGGCGTGATTTTGCTCTTAGGGAGAGAATTCTGCAGCAGCTGGATGATGGATGATGAATTTTATCTATATTATAATACACGGCTAGATTAAAAATGATCAGTCAGGGATTAGTAAAATAATAATTGTATGCGCACAGTGTAAATATTTCTATCATATGGCAGTCTTCTGTACATTAAAAAATGTTCATTCAATTTTTTCTCTTAGACATTGGAGTGGTGCATTTAAATGTTATAGAGCTAAACTTGTTAAATTGGTGAGTAGTAGTGTAAGTTTTTAACCTGTCAAGTTTTTTTTAGATTTTTAACATTAAAATTTATATTTTTCCAAGCACACAACAGTTTAAAGCAAAGTTTAGTTTGAAAAGAATGTTAACACGGTAATGTAGGCTTGAGTTCATTATCTGACGGATGCATATACACACCAGGAACCTGTAAACCTACTGAATTACAAAAAAACATTTAAAAAACAAACATGTTTCATTGATATACAGGTGCTGGTCATAAAATTAGAATATCATGAAAAAGTAGATTGATTTCAGTAATTCCATTTAAACAGTGAAACTTGTATATTATATTCATACATTACATACAAACTCATATATTTCAGATGTTTATTTTGTTTAATTTTGATGATTACAAATGACAACAAATGAAAATCTCAAATTCATCATATCAGAAAATTAGAATATTGTGAAAAGGTTCAAAATTGATGGCCCCTGGTGCCACACTCTAATCAGCTAATTAACTCAAACCACCTGCAAAAGCCTTTAAATGGTCTTTCAGTCTAGTTCTATAGGCTACACAATCATGGGGAAGACTGCTGACTTGACAGTTGTCCAAAAGACGACCATCGACACCTTGCACAAGGAGGGCAAGACACAAAAGGTCATCGCTAAAGAGGCTGGCTGTTCACAGAGCTCAGTGTCCAAGCACATTAATAGAGAGGCGAAGGGAAGGAAAAGATGTGGTCGAAAAAAGTGTACAAGCAAGAGAGATAACCGCACCCTGGAGAGGATTGTGAAACAAAACCCATTCAAAAATGTGGGGGAGATTCACAAAGAGTGGACTGCAGCTGGAGTGAGTGCTTCAAGAACCACCACACACAGACGTATGAAAGACATGGGTTTCTGCTGTCGCATTCCTTGTGTCAAGCCACTCTTGAACCACAGACAGCGTCAGAAGCGTCTTGCCTGGGCTAAAGAGAAACAGGACTGGACTGCTGGTGAGTGGTCCAAAGTCATGTTCTCTGATGAAAGTAAATTTTGCATTTCCTTTGGAAATCAAGGTCCCAGAGTCTGGAGGAAAAGAAGAGAGGCACTTCATCCACGTTGCTTGAAGTCCAGTGTAAAGTTTCCACAGTCAGTGATGGTTTGGGGTGCCATGTCATCTGCTGGTGTTGGTCCATTGTGTTTTCTGAGGTCCAGGGTCAACGCAGCCACATACCAGGAAGTTTTAGAGCACTTCATGCTTCCTGCAGCTGACCAACTTTTTGGAGATGCAGATTTCATTTTCCAACAGGACTTGGCACCTGCACACAGTGCCAAAGCTACCAGTACCTGGTTGAAGGACCATGGTATCCCTGTTCTTAATTGGCCAGCAAACTCTCCTGACCTTAACCCCATAGAAAATCTATGGGGTATTGTGAAGAAGAAGATGCAATACACCAGACCCAACAATTCAGAAGAGCTAAAAGCCACTATTAGAGCAACCTGGGCTATCATAACACCTGAGCAGTGCCACAGACTGATCGACTCCATGCCACGCCGCATTGCTGCAGTAATACAGGC